TGTCAATTTTCCTCTAGAAATGTTTCACCCGAAGTACCAACTATGGGAATCCAGGGGAAACAACCAGGCCTGGGTATATCTCACCAGTGACCTATAAATATCTTTGATTATATTTTATACCTGTTCCAAGCTTAAAAAAAAAAAAGATTTGAAGTTTCATGGATTTGCTGCAACTACAATTCTGCCTACCTTAACGCTTTCTTTACATTTCAGACTAAGCAGACTTCAGAATGGAATTGTGTTCCTTCCAATTGTCCGGTGATTGCCACAAAACAAGCTACATATTCTTTCAGTGAAAATGAAAGGGAAATGTTGAGTCTTAGGTTTGGAAAAGCCAGGAATGTATTCAAAAACCTTTGCCTTCATCATGAACTGGTTCAGTCAGTGCGGTATACCTTTTCAAGGGAGGGAAGAACTGCTGTGATCCCTTCAGGTCACAGGAAGACGGTGAAAAGAAGTCGAGTTATCTCCTTGAACATCGCCAAAGAAAAATTCATTCTCTTTGTCTGATTCCGGGATGGAAACTTGGTGTAACATGCTTCTTGAATGTGTCCAAGTTTGTCTCTTAGCAGAGCCAATACATTTTTGGAGCATCCCATCGTCAAATAAGAAAAGCCCGGAAAGTGTAAATAAAAAATGTGGAATTTTGAGCAAGCCTTCAACGAAGAAGGGTAAACCTCTGCTTGACAATAAAGCTAATCTGGTGCATGCAAACATTTCTAGAGGAAAACTGACGAGGTCAATCGTTCAAAAAATTACACAGACGAGAATACTGAATTCAACAGCATGAGTAATACATCATTGGAAAGAACTTAGAGAGAGCTTTGATTGTACATTAGTTTCAAGTTTGGATCGCGTTTGAAACAGGGTGTACAAACCGCCAAAATGGGTGAAAACAGGCAAAATTGGACTTTTCAAATTAAATTTTTAGTTGTTTCAAACAATGTAGGAAGTTGAAATTTATTTCTCGAAATTGCATTACTTTAGTCTACAACGTTGCAAAAGCTCGTTGTGTTTCCATGCATCCTAGTGCTCAAAATTTGCGTGCAAAATTAGGCGATATTTGCAATTTTTGCATTTGTGTAACTCACTTGGTAATAAACGTAGAAGAAAATGCACTGGATAATGCGATGCTGCATTGTTTCAGCTTTAATTAGAGTCCAAATACGCTTTTCTAGCTCGACTGGGACCAAAGATAGCGTTTTTACCCTAAAGGTCACTTTTCCTCTTCGAGGCTAAGTTTAGGGCTGCATATCTCGAAAACCGTTAGAGCCAGAGAGCTAAAATTTGAAATGTTTCCATAAGTCTTCGATGTCAACATGCCCAAAAATTTTAAAGCAAATCGGAGTCTGAAACCCAACGAAAGTGACTAAAATTTGACCACTTGAGCTGGAATGCCTCTGGAGTGCTTGGCAAGTTTTCTCCGTGAGTATTCAACTTATGCTCTTGGAAATAATCCTTTTCATAAGACACTGTTACGAGCTTGTGTACTAAATATCAAGATCACTCAATTATTTCTAGGTGTTGTTTTTCATGCGATGAGTGTACGTAACGTGTGTGTGTGTGTGTGGGGGGGGGGGGGGGTAGGTATTCGATCTCATGACACTCTACTATGAGCTCGTGCGCCAAATTTCCTCAAGCTTGCTGTACTCCTTGTTGCCTTCTGTTAGCAGTGAGTGTATGACACCCTAGGTGAGTTTACTGCTGATACCTCGTATGATTTTCCGTGTTTGACATTGTACAGTTGCGAACGTTTTTTGACCATCCTGTATATTTGAACCTTTTTTTTTTAGCAGATTCCAAAAACTGATCAAGCTGCTTTGATCAAGGTACGTTGTTCAATGAACAACGTACCTTTTCGAAGCTCTAGCACCTTCGCCAAGGTACTATAAACTTTGACATGTCTTGGTCAGCTGTTTGAATGAAAGCAGCATGATCAGTTGCTAGCCACAGACTGAAGAACAACAACGGTGCTGTGTGCCATTAGTGTCATCTGTTGATCGGCAATGAACTACGACAGAATTTTTCGCGTGCATTTCTGCGCGCCGTCCTACATAAAGAACGCCAAGCATATCTAAGTTTAGGAGAATTGACGTGTAACCACGATCGTCCTTGTCTGTTTCGCAGAACCTGAGGGATGGAGATGGGAACCCCTACTCTCCATATGATTTCTGCCTTCAACATGCCTCCGATGGAAGCGTCCTCTTGGTGTCCCGAAACGGAGATTTGGAAGCCGGCCATTACAATCCCCAGACCCAAATCGGCTTGCACGGTCACCTACAGACGGATGCACCCCCACCTCCTCCTCATAGTTGATACTGTGTCACATTCTTCATTTCCATTATCCCAAAGTACAAGCGAAAATGGAGCCGCGAAGCGCTCTGTGTTAGTTCTCACCGGTATTGCCATCGCTTCGCGGCGTGCGAAGATTCTCGTACCCGTGAGTACCAAAGAACACGTTCGACCGTGCAGTAATGGCCCGTCGTGTGCCCCCTCTCACTTTCGGTGAAGGAACCCGTGATATATAATTAGTACGATGATGTCGACATACCTGCTAATTTAAATCCGTTATTTTGAATCGTTTGAATGAGTGATGCGATGTTGATTGACGTATTCTGTGATGCAAACCTGCAGATGCTCCCACTCGACCGAGGTCTTTCCCTTGGCGGGCTGGGTTTTAATTCCAGTATCTGTAAACGTTCAGTAACACGACTTCCGCTAATTTCTCCCATTATTCGAAGAGGAAAGGAGTTTACCGCAGAGCAGAACTTTCATCAATTTCAAACTGATCTCGGAGCCTTATGCTCGATTCCCGTGAAATCTGGCATGGATCGAATCGGCAATCGACGATCGACAAATGAAACGGTGCCATGACTGGAAGATGATTCCTTCTGGAACTGTGCTATCCACAAATAATGTTTTTAAATTTCTGCTTGCTTTCTTTCGTTTTCGATGTGCTCAAATGTGGCTCGGTCAGTTGAATCTTTCTCTCGTTTTTATCTTTCTCTCATGAGAGAAGGATAATATCCAAATAAACGGAAATAGTGGCAGATGTTCTTCATGGAGGTTGTCATTGTTCGATGACCATCGCCGGGGTTCGGGTAGTTGGTTTCTTTCCATGAGTAGTTGGTCTCCTAATCTAAACCTAATCTAAACTTGACATTAGGTTTAAGTATAGATAAATTTAATTTTTAAATTTATCTAAACTTAACGTAAATCTAAAAATTAAATTTATCTAAACTTGACCTAAAAGCATTGTACAGGGTGGTCCAAAAGTCCCTATACCCCTGGGATATAAACACTCCAGCTTCACATCGCTTTATTAATCATCCAAAGGATCTGTGTGAGCTCCATCATTAGAGAGTTTTGGTTACCCGTTTTTTAGGAGGACGGGGACGCGAGCGTATCACTAGGCGTTCAAGTTCTAGATTTTCGAATGGCAGTTTGGCTGCGTGTCCCAGATCTGGAACGGAAAGTAACATCCTCGGATCTCACCATAGATGGTGTTCAAACGACATCCAATCTAAGGGCATTGTCGATCCAGTGATGCACAGCTAGGGTACAATCTGGTAAACTTACAAATCCTCAGATATCGAAATGTAATGCATTTCCCCCTTGTTTTATCAACTGCAACTAAATGTTCTTTTCTTTAAGAAGGGGTTTCACAATAGGAATGAATGAATCAGTTTGCCTACTGGACTAACGTTTTTCATTCCTTTGTCTGATATCTGATTGGAAAGAAAGTTCTCGGAATTTCTTGAATATCCTGTACAATTTTTTTCCAGAGCATGCTAGAATNTAGAGTCCAAATACGCTTTTCTAGCTCGACTGGGACCAAAGATAGCGTTTTTACCCTAAAGGTCACTTTTCCTCTTCGAGGCTAAGTTTAGGGCTGCATATCTCGAAAACCGTTAGAGCCAGAGAGCTAAAATTTGAAATGTTTCCATAAGTCTTCGATGTCAACATGCCCAAAAATTTTAAAGCAAATCGGAGTCTGAAGCCCAACGAAAGTGACTAAAATTTGACCACTTGAGCTGGAATTGGAATGCCTCTCCAATTTAAATTAGGGTGAATGGGTCGTACTAATTGCCCGAAACGATCTTTCAATTTATTGATAAAGCGTGGAACATGGTGTCTTGAAGAAGTGTAGGAAAATCCAGCTAAGTTTCGAGGCAATGGGATAAGGCGCCGCCTATAATCTCGATGAACGAGTCGAGCCAAGGGTCCAGAACGCAAATGGTATTCGAATTTGATTCAACCGGAAACAAAGTTTTAAACCGCCGAAGGACGTTCTGCACGGATGTTGGCATTAAAACACCAGGGCGCGAACGGCGATCGAAGGATGCAATGACGAACCTGGAAGACGTGACGATAGAGGAGAGAATACTGTTCCCCGAGACGATGCCTCTGAGATGAGAGGAAATCCCGATCCTGCGTGAGACGTTCTCTCTTCGTCTGGAGCTGTTTCACCTCCTCTGCCAAGGACATGATCTGATCCAACTTACGCTTTCGACAGTTCTGGGCAGCCACCTGCGCGAGAAGACCGTTCGGTCGCGAGTGCTCCATCCACGCTTGACAGAAACCGGAAGGGATCAGGCTCACCTTGTTCTTGCCTCTCCGCCGGATGTCACGGATGAGCGAGAGCTGCGCCTCGGTCAGGTCGTACTTGGACAGCCTCTCGTTGAACTCATCCATGGGGAGGTTGATGATATCCTCGATGGAGATAGGAATTTTCATGGATCGGGCCCTCTTCTCATCCCGCGAGATGTGATCGTCCCCGCTTTCCTTCCTCACTTCATGTAAAATATAGTAATACGACACCTTTAGATATTCCTTCGTCCGTCTTTCTCGTGCATTCCATACAAACAGACCGAGACAGGCAAATCCTGGAGAGAGAGAGAGAGAGAGAGAGAGAGACTAACTTCTCTTGTCACGACTGGAGGCGGAGGAGGAAGGCCTGGGATGGACTGGGTCTCCCGGTACGGATGGAATTCCGACTCCCGTTGCTGCGTACGTGTGATTGTGCCTCGACCCATCCAACCCCATCCCTGCATCCACTGGAACCAAAATCGACCGCTTTCATTGCCAGATCGAAAAAAAATTATCTCTCTTGGATCTCTGGGTATCGCCATGGGTAGACCGAACGACCGAATCCTCCCACAAAAGGAGCCACACAGGTGGAATATCAGCCTTCTACTGACATACGGTATTATCCCATAGCGTAAATCCTCGTCCAGTCCACACCTTCGATATCGAACACCACGGTTGCGACTCCCCACATCAACATGGGATGGAAATTGTATTTATAAATATATTTATTTTCATTATGATATTGGCAGTTCCAGAGTAATGGGGGCAAAAGTGGTATAAAAATGTTTTCCGAAAATTCCCTCGAACTTTTTTTTTTCTCGAACTCGAATTTTTTTGGCACTGTAAGGACACTAAACTTAGATTAAATAAGGGATCTGCTAAACACACATCACCTGACAGGCAATTTTTAATTTCTTTTGCAATACACCATTTTGAAAAATGAAACGCTTGCTTCATGAACCTCGCTTTGGATAAACGCTGGAAAACTCTCTTTGCCACTCCATTTTTGATCAACAATTTATGCTATTTGGCAAAATGAAAGGTGCGGTCTATGCCTTCTTTCTTGAAAATATGGAAGCTCCAGGTTAAACGAAATCTGACAGAATTGGAAGGGAAGCAGCAGAAGAAAAACTGATATCTAAACTGTTATGCCAGTAACACGAAATGAATGGCCTTACCTTTCTTCATCCATGGGAGAAATGCGACTTTTTTGGTTGGAATAGGTACAAGTATCTATGTCCTATATATGTCTATATCTATGTCCTAGGCACGGTTGAAGTAGAATTTCTATACTAAACCTTCTTCAAGGTATACCCTCACACTTATCATTTGGAGTTTGGTGTTATGTCAGTAACTTTGGAACTGACCGTATTAGGTACGCAGGGAGGTGAGGGGGGGAATACAGCCAAAGGGCAGCCACGTTCAGCACTTCAACATTCTCGTAAGCGGAAACGATAGGAAAACCGTCAGTTCAGGTGTTTCTATATAAACCCGGTGAAGCTTACGCAATAAATTGGATTGCCTCGGAGGAAAGGTGTTGGGGATGAAAAAAGACGTCATCCCAGAAACACACGATTCGGGGAGCTTCGGATATTAGGTAAAGTTCATTCAGAAAATTTAAGAGATGTTGCCAGTCTTTTTACGTGTACGTCAGTCTATTTACGAGCATCGCGGCACGACGGAACATGCCCCGCTAAAACATTCCCGACTGAACGCCCCCGACACGATCTCTTCCTGATACCATCAATAGGCGCGGTAGCGCCTATTACCTTTCTTCAACCCCTTCCCATAACAAAATTAAACGTCCTCGTATTCCACTCTGAGAGCATCTGGAAGAACGAAACTAGGCAGGTTTCTTAATCTCTCAACACAGAATCGCTTCAGCACATTTGAAGCGCCATCTCCCCGGGGTTGTGGAGAAGGCTGAATCTCGCTTCTTAAAGATGTGAAATTCATTTCGTTTTCTCGTTTATTTTTTCTCCCCTACCTGGGTAGGAGAAGAAAAAAAAACACCTGGGTCCTGACATGAAGATAGACCGTCGGTTAGGCCTAGACCTAACGTTTGTGAGTTGAGTTCCACAGCGAAGGGGGAAGGTGGGTGAGGGTGAGGGTGAGGTTGAAGAAAGGGAAAACCTTTGAAAAATAGTTTTCACATTACAGTCGTCCCTCGCCACTTCGCGCTTCGACTTTCGCGGCTTCACTCTATCGCGGTTTTTTCAAATACTGTACAGTAATTTTTATTTTATAATATATTTGAAAAAACCGCGATAGAGTGAAGCCGCGAAAGTCGAAGCGCGAAGTGGCGAGGGACGACTGTACTCCATTCAACTTAACTCAACACACCAACAAGGAAGCCTTAAACTTAATAATACTAAACTGCGTGACTTTTCCGATTCTTCCCATTCTTCCTTCACTTCCACATTCATATTCAGCCAGAGGGAATAGGTTGGCGAGAACATTTTAATCTGTCTGGAGATGCTCAGTTAAAAATATGTAAAGGAAAATTTGTGTGCCAGGTGGGTACAAACGACAGCGCTACTCAGCACATATTGTGTCTCCATGGAGCTTGTGAAGTCACAGAAGGGCCGGGATAAGTTGGTGGTTAATTCGTTCACGTTTACTCATCATCCATAAAAGATCAAATGCATCAGGTGATACATCTTGACGATGCGATGAGCACAGTGCAGAGCTAGAGCAAAAGTGAAATACGGGACGGGAGTCAAGATGCTTCAGGATATGATGTGAATTCGGAATTCGTTTGATGTGCAAGTTTTATTTGCATTATTCATTTCCTTCAATGAGATGTGATCATTTGGGCTATTTTTTTTTATGTGGACTATTTTTCTTTGTGAATGAAAAATGCCTCATTCTGTCTCCGGATGTTTTCGCGCTGATGATTTTTCCAGGAAGGAGGCATTTTGTCGGGAGAAGATACGTCAATGGAAAGTTCCATCGGCTTTATTTACTCATGGAATATTCTGTTGGCGACCTTAGCTGCATGCTCAGCCAAACACGAGAGCCATCTCTCTAGTAAGTTTTTCGATGAAATATATGTAACCTTGGATACCACACTTTGCATAAAGATGGGTTCGAAATAATGAGTAACTATCTGCACTGCACTCAATGGAGAGAAGGCAGAGAGGATAATCTAATTCAGGTATTTAAAATAATGGTTCAATGTTGAAGGTTTGGGTAGAGACAAGAAAGACCATCCCGTGTCCAGTTCGAGCATATTATACTGTAGGATAGGCCTATCCCTCAAAAAAGATATTTTTGTGGGAGTACATCCATAGTTACAGAATGTTCGCCTATTTACTTGCCGTTACATTGCTCCCTCTCTTTAGCTTTGTCCATGAAAGCATGTAACTTCTCCTTAGAGCTAGATAAGGAAGTGGGAGCCACCATGTCGACACCTAATGCGTTTCACGTCGTCACCACCCTACAAGTGAAGAAGTGCTTTCGCAACCCGAGTCTCACTTTGGGCCTACGGAACTTCAACTGTTTCTCCTTCCCGTCCGCAACGGCTTTGAACCCCAACTATTAGTTTCCTTGTTTCACTGGAGCTGACGGTGTCCGTGTGCACAAGGCCATGTTGTATTATACCTTCGATGAAACTAGACGAAAAGACGAATCGGATTACTCGAAAAGCACAGAAGTATATCTCTCACTGGTAGGTCGAGAGTTCACATGTCGTGATCACCCTTCATGATGAGCATTCGGCATATTCTGTACGCCTTCTACTAAAGCCACAACTCTCTTTTGGGAATTCCGCAGCCTCTTCTTCTTCCGTACCCCTTGCTCTTCAAAGGCGAAGCCATCAGTTTCTAGGCGCTTACACTTTGGCAATTATGAGTAACAGTTATTTCCACTTTACTTTTCTTTGAAGTGGGATGGTATGGGCCTCAAAGCCTAAGAAAAAGGGGATGGACCCCTAACGTATGCCGTACATTTTCCCGGTTATTTTTTTTTTATCACTTCAAGGCAATGAATTTATCACACTTTTAATTTCCAACGTTGAAAAGTAACTATCCTTAAGATTGTGAAGCCCTGAAGTGGATGTATCGGACAAGAACATCTCCATCACACAAAACGGATGGGCTTCCGGCCCAAAAGAATGGGCCACCCCTCTTCTAAAATGTATGGTTGTTCGTGACGTAACCGACGCTTTCATCGCGGCCAAAATGGTCGCAGACATTTCATCGCGGACAAAACGTCGCACGCACTTTTGGTCGTTGCACTATTTCGTCGATCGTCGCACTCTCCACGTCACGAGGGCAATACAAAGACTGTGAGTAGATGCTGTTCGCACAAGTCTACGCGTGGGTTCCTGAGATTTATGAGCGGTGGCTTTCAGCTCCCCAATTGCATTTGTCACGTGGACACGATCAGAACTGGGTGCAGGATTGTGACCGGACTTGGCCACTACTTCATTTGTTGTGTGCATCCTACCCTCACAGCTTCGGAACTCACATCGCCATGCTGTCTTATCGAAACTTCACCTCTCTGCAGCATAAACACTATACTCTTCATAGTCAAGCTTTTCTTTACCTTTAGATGTCTTTGCCTCCCCCTCCATTTCCCAGCTGATACCCATAAAGAGTACAGTGGTCCTATTCTTTTCTACCTTTTTCTGTTCACCTTGCTTTCACCTCGTTACTGGTTCTATAATTGGGGTTTCCCCTTTCTTTGCAAATGGCAATATCACAACTTATATCGTAGGTAACTACGAATTGGAAGTCGGATGGGACCTGCATAAGCACGGCAGGAGCCTAAGCGCTACGAGTGCGAAATTAAAAACCTTACTATAAAACATCAGAATACAGGAAATGTTCCTGCAAAAAGTTTCGGAATTCACCGAGATGTTACATTCCAATCGGACAATTCCGCAATGACTGCGCTGCTAATATTTGAAGAGGTATGCGTGTGAATTCCTTCTTACTCAGTCATAAAACTCTCAGGGGATTGCATGGAGAAGTAATCTACAGTACTATATGTCCAAATATATATTTATAGCTAATGTTCAACACATATCCAACAATCGGACCCACAATAGGGTACGGTATTCAATGAGGAGGAGCACCTTGCTTCCGTTGTCCACCACCAATTATTTACCCAGTTGAGATGAGGGGATGGTGATCGCATTGACATAACAGTACATAAGGCACTTTCAATTAAACTATACAGGGTACTGATTGAGGTACTCAGCAGCATAATACAACGGGAAAGTGATATGTTACGGAATTGCTAGAGGTAGAGAGGGGAGAAGATGGGAATGCTTACATCTAGAGTAGTCGAAGGTGCAGGGATACTTAAGTGTTTCCATGGCAGCTGGATCGAGGAAGGCAGGCGCTGGACAAAACCCACTAGCCCCGCTCCCACCGGCTTCCATCTTGACTCCTCCCGGATAGTCTCCGCTTCCTCCTTGTCCTCCCCCTGCAGCCATGGCCACCGCCGCCGCGGCTGCCGTCGTCACGTATGGCCCGATTGGGAGTCCTGCTGCTCGGTAGAAGAGAAAGACAGCCCCCGGATTCTTAGCGAATGCGAAGAAAGGCATTACTCGGTTTACACGATGCGCAGTCGATGAGTTTGGCAGCAAATTTTTTGTTCGGGTCTGCAGCTTTACCAGTTCAGCAGTCAGTTAAGTCAGTTCAGCGGACAAACCAAAGGGCGAAAAAATTAAGGCCAAAGTCACTGTAGGCGACACGCTTAACATAGCCAAGGAATCCAGTTACATTGATGAAACTTGATACGGAAACTCGTATGACCGTGCAATGTGGTCTACCAAAGTTCCAAGGCCGTGAGATGGAGATTTACAGAGAAAACTCACTAAATTCCCAAGTGTGAGTGAGATTAAGCTTAACGGAGAGGTAGACATTAATTTGTCAGTCGATTTTTTGTGGTAACGTTTGTCGAATCACTGAATGCGCGGTAATAAATGGAGATCTGTCGTTAGAAGCAACTCTTCAACTTGACCCGCTTCACTGAGGCTCGTTAAGCAGACAATCATTGCATGGGGAGAGCTTATGCGCTACTGAGTCATTACGAGTACGGACACCCATATAGTAAGATAGGGATGGCAATAAGTGCCTACTGAGCCGACCTCAAGCAAACCGAAAAGATAAAACTAGGGCTGTCAATTCGATTAGATTAATCGATTAAAGTAGTAATCGCGGTTTAAAAAATTAGTCGAAATTAATCGAATTTTAATCGACTCCCTAATCTCCCCCCCCTGCCTCTTTTTCCCTTATAATTCCCCTACCGTGTAGTTCATAGTTTTGCGAAACAACCGAAAAACGAATGCTTCATCAAGGGAATGAAATGTAATGACGGCTTATAGAAGGTATTCGTTTCCGCACTGTTCACTCTTCCTCAAAAACGACATACTATTTTTGGAAAAAGGGAACACATAAAAACATAGCCATCGCTTTCAAGCTGTTCCAAAAAAAAAAAGCTTCTAGACCCCTTCGCATCCACAAGCGTACTGGTACACATCCCGCGTCCTTCTGCCTAGCCTACGGCCTTTAAAGGACCTTGCAGGCTTCGCGCGTCAGACTATGGTAACAGTGGCCTAGGGCAGAGAGACCGAAAAGTCACTGGATGCGAATGGGGAAAAGAAAGTCGTAATGAAGAAGCTGCAAGAGAAAGCACAGAAGGAAGAGGGGAGTTGGACAGGGGCATGGGACAGGAGAGGCAGGGAAGAAGATTATGTAAAGACTGGGGAGTGAGAGGCGTACGTGTAAGTGCACCGGCGAACGTCTGTGGGAACCCCCGGAAAGTAACCGAGAGAGGGGAAAGCCGGGGGCAGGCGAGAGAAGTGGAAACGAAAGTGTGAAACCCTCCCCATTTCCTTGTTTGCTCCTATTTTTGCTCTTCCATCCGGTGTTACCGTAAATCGTTAATGAATCTTAACCTCCGCGTAATGAAGGGTCACTGTATACGTCCAATCATTTAGATTACATGTTTGCATCCTTCCGTTATGGGTTGGCTAAATGGGAAAGGGGCTCAGTGCGCTTCTTTGCAAACGTTTCATTATTTATCTGGCTAAGTTGTAACTACGAGGTATTTTCTTTCCGACTGGAATGTGTCACTTGTAGGATGGATTAGTGCACGGGTGCGTCTTTTTCTCCAGCCGCTAGCAGCTGCTGGCGAAAAAGACGTGCTGCATAAGCACGTCCACGTCATTGAATGACGTCACTACTGGGCAAGCAGCTGCCTCCGGAACACAGCGAACAAATAGAACGCTGAGTAGCAAAGCCTCAAAATGACGTCATTGGATGCTGGAGGTCTCAGCAGAGCTAGTGAAGCCGCTAGCAAATAAGATGCGCCCCATGTATGGCTAGTAAATGCTATATTAGCGACTGCATCGCCTTGAGTCACTTCCTGAGGCTCGCCTGGGTTTTGGGCATGATTAATGCAGAATCATTCCCAACGCATAGGACGTGATTCAAGGAGGAACTGCGGGATCGATTAAAATTCGATTAAATGGCTCACAATTAATCGATTAAATTTTTTAATCGATTGACAGCCCTAGATAAAACTGTTTCATTGCATGACGCCTTGTCATCGTTTCACAGTTCATCACACATCAATGGCGCAATTGTACACTAGAAAGAGGGAAAACGAATTTGAAATGGAATGAATGGACACCGCTTGCCCTTATCTCAGCGTTTGAGAAGTTTGCTCTTTTCAAATGTTGTCTTATGAGCTAAAAATATCAATTCCATTTCATTACACCCAACAAGTAGCTTACAAAATGTCATCACTATGACTCAACTCTAAAGTTATTGGCGTTGTTTTTGCTGGCGATGAGAATCATATCTAAATTTACTATGGTACGTTAATGACAGTTAGACTCTGTAAGGGAGATGAATTATTCTCTTCAAGTTACAGAGAGATCCGATTGACTTGGATATTGCGGCTTTTAGGGGTTCGGAGATTTTCACATCGACTTACAACGTCGTCTTCGCATCCAACATCGTCGCATAGGCGCTGCATCCTACGAATATTAACGACATCGAATTATGTAAAATCTGATTTCGAAGCTTAATAGAGAAAGCCTTTTGTCTTTTTCGAGCAACATGGATGTTTTAATAAGTCGCTGATAATATAAGTTGACGACTGGAGAGGGGAGAGAGTATCTTGAAAGGATGTGCAGGTATCAAGTGTAAGGCTTTTGCCTATATTAAAATAAGAATGTATTGTTAAAACCTACGGAGCGCCCTTCGTATGGGGAACTCGTACGGGTTGAAACCCGTAAAGTCAAAGTCTGAGCAATGCCCAGTTCAGAGGCGAGCTTCCATCGCAGATAGTGTAGGAAACTTTACTGTTGAACGGCCCAAAGTCATGGAGGTGGTACAAATTACAGAACAGATACCCATATTGCTAAAATCGATATGGAATGTCCTATTAGGTATTGCGTTGGAGTGAAAAAAAAATTGAGTTTGAATACATTTTTGAAATGTTGGTTTTGTCAAATGACAGTTCATAATAAACCTGTCTTGAATGAATTCAAAATACATTAAAAAGGTAAGGCTTATATTATAGGGCATGGAGGGGGCGCCGCCGACATCTCGCTGTCTGAAAAGGGTGCCTTTTGTGAAGAGGTTGAGAGTCGCTGCTTTAGAATATATCAATAGAATCTCTCTCTAAACGGAGAAAGATTAATGAGGCCGAGAGCAGTAAGTGGAATTGGAGACGAGAGTCTTTAAGATCACAACATCAACGTTCCAACGTCCATTTTTAAAGGAAAGGATAATACTGTCCATGCGATTGATGAGTGCTCATTCTCATAATGAAAGCAAAGGAAGATCTTTTAAAATTAGTGTTTAGTGAAGGCTGATGTCAGTTTTCCTCAGAGTCCTATGATTCGATCCCGTTTCGTTGGAGGAATCACGGTGATAGGATCACGACAGAAGCGACAAATTCTAGGGAAAGAGTCGGCAAACAGATAGTAAATCAGAGCTATTACCTTCCATTGATGTAGGTGAAATAATGCAAGATATGAAGAGAGGTAAAACCAGAAGAGCACTGAGAAACAGTGTACAGGGCGAGTCAAATGTCTCTAAACTACATCTCACCTTTTTGACCGTTGATAACTTTTGAATGCCAGACTGGAATGAGATCTAGTTTAGATCAATCGGAAGGCAAGAATATCCTCTATCTACAGTTAAGTCTTCGCATTATTTGGTCTATCGCATTTGTTTTACTAGTACGGATATGTCCTTTTTTTTGGGGGGGGGGGGGGACCTTTCACGCTTGGAAATGTGCTTGTGCGCTGTGGCAACTTGACTCCAATTCTAGGAAATTTAAGAAAAATGACTGGGAAACGACTGACTATCCGTAAGCATGCAGCAGATGTTGAGTTTTGTTCCGAATTGAGTCAGAAGACAACGGGAATCGTATAAAAAGCCAAAAAAAATTCAACGGAGAAATCCTCAACCGCAAGTCGATCGTCCGTATCAATTCGAATATTGAGACGATGAGAACAAGAACAGACCTGCTCCGCTTTGGAGGTCCACGAACTGGTTGCGATGAAGCTTCGACTTTGACAACATGAAGATGTATCGATTACTTAGAAGGTGGACGCGGCTAGTGACGGCAGAGAACACGATTCCTCAGCATCGGTCGAACGAATGTTGCGGAACTCAGAAAATAACTTTGAAGTGATGTTTTTGCTCTAAATGAACGTAAGAAATTTTTATTTGCATTCATATGATATAAGCCACAATCCGATCCAATCACTCAGTCATGTGGCAGGATTCTTGACTCATCCTGTACATTGGTAATGATTGGACGAAGGAAGACCATCCATGCCAATCTATACTCCTATTTGAGAGTTTCCCAGTTTCAAATTTATTACACTATAGTTGGACATTTTATGAAATAACCCCAAAACCAAGTAGATCAAAAGTCTGCCATAATTGTAAATTCCAAATTTATAAATTAAAAAAAAAATATTTTCCAAAGAGGATAAACGTCGATGAAATCATTATCGGAACAAAGTTGGATGCCTGAGGAAATCAGATTCAAGAAAATGGCACAGGCAAGTTGCAAACCTCTGTGGTCTAACCAAGGACTCATCCATCTTCCGTTCGATTTCTGCCATCTCCACCATAGATCCTGCCATGGTCGCTAAAGCTATCAACCGCCATCTCTCTGGACCGCGTGCAGTCCCCGATCCCCTGGATAGAAGTCGCCTCCCATCTTTCCTGCCTCCTAGCACGCCTCTCGAGGTAACACCCCACGAAGTTTTTCAGCTCCTTCAGGAATTTAAGAGGTTTTCTACTCTCGGACCAGATGGCATTCCGTCTAAAATCTGCAAGGAGTTCCCCTTGGAGTTGGCCACCCCATTGTCCCTTATTTTCAATGCTTCCATAATGATGGCCAAGTACGAAGAGCCAGGAGACTAGCCACTGTTGTCCCAATTCCGAAAAAGCACCCGCCAAAAACCTTCAACGACCAATATCTCTCACATGCATACCCTGCAAGATGCTGGAGAAAATCGTTCTGACAAAATTAAAGGGAATCTCTAAGAAGCTTCACCCATCCCAGTATGGATCCCGCAAGGGTGTGTCCACGCTTGACTACCCGGTTGACATTCTACATTTTGTCCAGGCAAAGGTAGATTCTGGGAAAGCGGTAACCGGTGTCCTGGACTTTAAGTAGGGCGTTCGATAGCGTAGACCATACCATCGTCATTGGAAAACTACTATCACTAAACTATCACTAGGAGCATGCCCTCTACTGGTTCGGTGGATAGCTTTTCTCCAAGGCAGAGCCCAACAGGCCCAGTACTTAGGAGTCCTTTCTGAGGAAGACTCCCTCTCGTGTGGGGTCCCTCGAGGGACGGTCTTAGGCCCCTCTTATTTTCCGTGATGGTCGACGATGACCTCAAAGAAGGAACCTTGTCGTTTAGATATGTGGACGACAAAACCATAACTTGAGGCCACCCAACCCCCCCCCCCCCCCCGATCTCCAGAAAGTCTGAGATCAAGAGCATAAATGGGCAATAGTAAACAAAATTAAACTGAATTCTGAGAAGTGTTCTTTAATTCAACTTTGCTTCACAAAATATCCCATCCCAGTTCATCACCTGACCATCGATGGCGGCTACCTACAATCATTAGAAGTGGTTTGCCTCCTAGGCGTGATGACTCAATCAGACCTCAGATGGGATGCAAACACCAAGAACATCTTGTCCAAAGCATCCAGACGCATTTTCATGTTGAAAGTCTTGAAATCTTACGAAGCAACGACACCTGAGCTCGTCCTAGTGTGGATAGCCTATATCCGCCCCGTTTTGGAGTATGCTGCCCCCTTATAGCACTCAATAACTGCCTCACAAACTCATTCTCTCGAACTAATTCAGAAGCGTGCTCTGCGTCTCATCCTGAGTTCCAGTACTCCTCATATGAGACAGCTCTTGCCTCCCTCAAACATCCTTCTCTGCAGGAAAGGAGGGCTATCCTCATTGCCAAATATGGTGTCTCCCTCTTAGGAAATCCTGACCACCGACATGTTCTTTCCCCCTATCGGACTCCGACCAACCACAATCTTCGCCACGACTTTAGAAAACTCCTGTGCGAAATTAAATGCCGCAGGAAACGTTTTATGTTTCTACTGTTCCCAGTGTGGCCAGATTACTAAACAAAGCTGTGTGACCTATCATGTATCGGTTCCCCATTTTTGCCATTTTGCCATTTTCACCCTTATACGTTTTATTACCTTTTTCCATTTTGGTGCTCTATCTGTGACCATAACATCGTCATGTTTTCTTTTTTTTCTCTCTCTCTCTCTCTCTTCCTATTCTGACCCACTTTTGTTTTTGTACTTGTATCCCTGATGCGGGAGATAAATTTGCCTTTGGAATACTCCATCCATTTGAAACAAACCTTTCATCACCATCATCATCAAAGCTTCGGGCTACCACGCAGACATCTGGGCAAAACGCTTGGTGCAGAAAAAGAGACTCGATCTGGTGTGATTGGAAAATTCAATGGTCTTGATTTTCGGATTCTTAGGAAAAGGATGAAAACACTCAAGAAATTCAGAAATTCCCTTCCGTCGATGCTTTAGGCTATCATCGTGATCGGGCAAAGCCATCCTCTGGAAACGTGTCGGGTTTACGGCATAAATAGCGTCTTCCGAAGACAGGAAGCTCACCAAATAGCAAAAGTCCGTCAGTTCATCGGGAAGAGTGGAAGCCAGAGACGAGAGGAAACAAATGCTTACCATTGGGAGGAGGAGGTGGCTGCTCCTGATGGTAACGTCTCCCATACATGTGATGTTTCTTCTGCGGAGCAGTCGCCGACGAAGGGCCGCTGCCTCGTCTTTCACTGTCCCCGTGAGGCAACATGAGTCCCCGATATGCATACCCGTACCCTCGGAACTTGCTTCCATTTCTGTGAGACGAACATGGCTCATCGTGAAGATGATGGATGACCGTGAAAAGTTGGATTGATATACAATACAGCGCAGAGAGCAAGAGCGAGAGAGAAAGAGACGGACGTGTAATCTGGAATGGTGGCATAAGGACTGGGATCGGAATGAGGAGAAGCTCCAGCTTGATTCCAGTCTCCTTCTCCATTCCCCATGTTGGATACTTCCACCCTTTCTCCTCCTTCCATCCCCCCTCGCACGTGATACATGCCTGAGAAACGGGGAAACAATTTATATAAGTTCTGTTCTGCAGGATTCTTCCATGAATGGACTGCTTGTCTGCATTCTGCTACTCCAATATGCTTTCCACATGTTGCTTCTCCCCTGGCTGAACGAGCATGAAGCTTCTATGGGATGGATTATTCTTCATATCAACACGTAGGGACCCGGCAAAATGCCTCTCAAAAGCAGTTCGTTCCCATTAGGGGGGAAAGACTGCCTTTAACAGGTTGACCATCACGAGGCGCACCGGTGCGCCTCACTGAATGGGAAAATCAATAGGCCAGCATTTCCGTGGCGGTCAACGTGTTAAAGGAGAGTGGAAAAACCAGAAAAAAAGGAGATGCACTATAAACATCCCAAAAATGCTGAGGAGAGTTTTCCACTCCCTCAAAGAATTTCCACCAAATTTACACCCACATCCTCATTGCTAATATGGGTAACTTTAAAGCAGGGGTCGGAAACCTTTTTGGCCATGTGAGTCATATTAAGATTGAGTGTTCGTGAGCCAAAGATTTTCAAAACAACCAATTTTCCTGAAATTAGCAACAGACATGTGCATTCTTTGATACACGAGACAAATGGGGAACAACCATGGCTTTTAGCCATGACTCATGAGACAAACTTTTCGGCTCGTGAGCCAAATTTGTCTCATGAGCCATAGGTTCCTAGATGCTATGGAGATGTAATTGAGTCAAGTTACAAGTTCTACAGTGAAAAATTTATGAGCACATGTTGGTCCACATACTCAGGAAGTTCTTCTGGGAAGAAAAATAAATTAAGTTGGCGGGTAATTTATTCTCACATAAAATTACTCTAGATACGGAGGCAAGTTCAGTTACGAAGTGTCTTGTCCTTCAAGTGAGTCAAGTCACAAGTTCCCAAGAAAGTAACTGAATTCCATAAGTTGCATTTGACTAGTTATAGCCAAGCACTTCTGGAAGACACATTTAGAAAACCCGGGAAAACCATTTTTGTGACCGGCGCTTCCGTCGCGGCCAAAGGGGTCGTGGACAGTTCGTTACGGACAAAAAGTCGCACTTGCTAGCCGACAAGGTTAAAAGCAAGATCAAAAAATGCGTGGGAAGTAATGGGGTATCATTCCTGATGGCAATCAGTTGGGAAAGGGAAGGAAGGAAATGGGTCTCTATAGCTATAACGTTCTTTTGAACCGCACCGTTCATGTGCAAAGTTGAGTTTTCATGTGTCTGAAGCGGGAATGCATCAATATATCTTCAGGAATAAAAAAAATGGCATGCACTAGGAAGGGCAAACATTCAGTGTAGAGAGACAAAGTGACAAGGAAATAGCATAACGATGTGAGCTGCAAATCTTTTTGGGTAATAGGGTGTGGCATACGCAAAAGAGTGACTCACAAATGTTAATTTCTGACTTCATTACTAATTCATCAGCTGCGATTGACGAAAGGTATATTTTAGAAGTTACATCCGGGGAGTCCGCTAGGGTCTCGCTTGAGTAGAGATGTATTCATATGCTATCATCCAAGCCCCTGCAATCCCTTCGTGGCAAAGAAAGTTGTGCGTATCGTCGATAGGTGTGCGTGAGGAAACTACTTCGACCATAGATGCATGCGACTTCATGGCCGCAACTTCGAATCGTCCAAGATCATTTTGACCGCAAGGAATGCGCCGGGAATCGTTATTTCATGGAAAAGGTGCGATCTCTTAATTAAATCTACCATCTTTCTTTAAAGTTCATGGTAGAATACAACAGTTACCAGGAATTGTTATACCAGTGCCTGAAATATGATAAAGTCACTAATGAACCTCCGAGTTTCTTGATTAATTCATTTCTTTTAGAAATAAATCATATGATGCAGGGTGGCAAGAAAAAAGGAGGGAATGAGGCTGAAGCAATGTATGCAACTGAGATGTGGAGCTGGGGAGAAAAAAAAACGGTTTCAACCTTCAAGATGATGCAGCAAAATCCTTCTAGAGGTGACCTCAAGAGCTATCCTCCTCCATCCTCCTTCCTTCCTACGTGGAATTCTCTGCATAGATTCCTGGCTATCATTTAGATGTTACCATCTTCCTTTTCAGTAGTGGATGTGAATGTCCTGATAATTTTTCTCATCACTACCACATCAAACAAGGGGAATGATTATCACAGGAATAATGAGGATGGATGCTATGAGTATGAAAGCAAATATATTTATAGTTTACCTGTCACTATTGACAACTTCATGAATAAAAAGAATAACCCATTCATTCCATGCAGTACAAGTTCATATCTCTAGTTGTCTCACCATCTCATTTTCCTTTAGTTTCTGGAGAAGTAGGCTTATTGAAGCTTCCCAAAGATGAAATGAAAATACTAACTATATAAGAGGATTCTACTACACCAACCTTTTCTTTTGGACAACTGAGAGTCGTACCACAATGGAGGACAAAGGTACACAGGAGAAACCCTAATCAACATTTGGATCTACATGTTGGGAGTTGGAGTTTGCAATGTCCAATGTGGAAACATAATGGGAAGAGGAGCAGATGCACTGAAAGGGGGACTTTTTCCATGCTGGCAACAACTAAAATAAGCTCACCATCACTGACAGCAGAGACATCCATGAGTTGAAAGTCTTCATCTAGGATGGAGGTGAGAAAACCATCAGCTGTGGTCTGCTGCTGCTGCTGCATTTCTCCACTCCCAACTGGAGCCTAAAAGAAAAGGAGAGGCTTACCTTTTTTCGTTCAAAAGAAACTCAATCCTCGACTTACTGGGTCAATTAGGCCAATAAGGACTAATCCCTGGTCTTCGAGATCTCGTCGAGGACGTGTAACGTTGGGCCTATCGCAGGCCAATTCAGTCTTTCATGGCCCTTTTAAGAGAGTACGTGAAACGTTAGACCGAATAAAGCTCTACTTCGAGTTTCATGAATCATTTCAGTGCGGATGAGGAACGTTAGGCCTATCTAGAATTATTCGAGCCGTCTCGACGAGTTCTGAGGAGAAAATGCCTCTGGGTAGCATGGAATACAATGTAGGCGCCATCCAGTTAATTAAGGGATGTCCGAATGAGATATCTCGATATCCCACCAATTCGATCGGCCACTGCTAGCCACCATTTCAATCTCAGCTCACCTAATGAACTCGGCTCAAAATTTTCTCATACATTTAAAAAACAGAAGATCCAGACACTGATACCAAGACCGAAGAAGTCATGAATCTGACATAAACCCGGCACGACATCCGGCAACACTGGAGGACGGGACCGGAGCCATCACGCTAAGCCTAAATGAACGATAGCTAATTTCATTTTTCATGGGGAAATGGTGCACTGTAAGCAACAAAAAGGACACTTTTCGTCATATTCAAGTCCATATCTTTCGTTTGGTTGGTCTCTTCTTCCGAAAACTCTCCAGGAGCGGCTACCATGGGGGGGAGGGGGGAGATAGAAATAATAATAATAAAATGTCAGAATGAAATTCACATCTTCGAAAAGCGAGATTCAGTGACCTCCACAACCCCGGGGAGATGGAGCTTCAAATTTGCTGTAGCGATTGTGCGTTGAAAGAAGAGGAAGCATGGCAAATTTCGTTCCTGTTGATGCTCTCAGAGAGGAATACGAGGAGGTTGAATTTAGTCGCGGAAAGGGGCTGAAGAAAGGTAATATGCGCTACTGCACCTATTGATACAAGATTAAACTCCCCATACAGTCTACTAAGAATTATTACGTTAAAATGCTGAAGTAATGAGCTTATGTGCCTGGGATTATATATTTTTGGGGATTTATGTATACAAAAAAGAGTGTGTCGACTTAGAAATTAAATTCACTATATGAAGACTAATCGACGCACTGTGAATTTTACCAAGTGATCCTCATGCTGGAAGTCATATGAAGTCACTGTGAATACTTTCTGAAACAACTTTATTTATAAGATGCGAGCGCCAACGGCACGAGAATTGCCAAATCCATTGACCAAGGTGTTTGACCGCATCATTAGGGGCTGAGCTTCGAAAACGGGTGCCTTAAATGCATTAATAACTGCCTTTGATCATGGAGCGCCAAAGGCCCGTCCAATAACATATTAAAGAATGACGTAAGTTTTCAAGTTATATTGTAAAAATCTCAGCTATGAGTTTGATAAGTGGAAATGTCACTTTGCTTAAATTGGCATCTGAGTCAATACATGACAATTATGTGCTTCACGAACATAAGTGTTAATCAAGTACAAAATTGCCATACACTAAAAAATCTACATAATCCAGAAACTAAGGTTCCTATCGATCTGTGGCTTCTAGCAATCGATAGGTTACAAAGAACTGAAAATAATGAGAAAAGTTCCAGAAGTTCCTTCCATTGTTGGAAGGAACTTCTGGAACTTTTCTTATTATTTCTCAAGTCTCCTCAACTTGAGAATTTTAGAGATAAAAGACAGTTGAACTGTATTTTATTTCTCTAAAATAGACCCTGCAAAGCAGTTAGCCAGTTCGCCTCCAAATGTATTCAACATCACTTTTGTTCTAATGTTCCCGGAATATGAGGAGGTGATTGTTTATAAGGTCTGCACCGGACAAGCAAGCTGTCGAAGTGCGTGATGGCCGGCGTCGCGGCGTCCTTGAACGCCTTATGGCCAGGAATAAACTACACTACAGGGGTTGCAGGCTCCGTCTACAACAGCTATCGCGGGAGAACTCATGCCACCTCACCAAATGAGTTATAGCTTTTAATCGTTAATTTACTTCCATTTGATATCGCTTCGAAAATTATTGACTGATTTATTTTCACAAGGCTACGGCTAAAATGCTAAATTCATCATTTATTCTGGGTGTCCTGATAATTCTACAAAACAAATCGGTAATCAAAATGATGGAAACATTTTGCAGAGAAATTTTCAAGAAAATTTCTCTGCAAAATTTTTCTCTAAAAATATTTTTATTATTATTATCCCACTATGAAGATTCCAAATCACCTTAAATTGCACATACTCAACGACAAATACATAAGCCTCGTTTTTAAGAAACCGGTACTGTTGGGTGACTGGTGCAGCCACTCGACTCTACCAGTTTCACGAAAATATCAAGTCTAAAAAAAATCCGAATCAGTTAGGAGTAATGATACATTTTCGGAGCTGCTCGAGAAGATCATGGGCATCGGTCGCATACGTTTCTGATTATGGCTCCCGTACAGAAGCTTTGATGCGCCTATCTTTTACCGTAAAGGTTTGGCCTATATCATCAGCGAGATGGGCTCATCCGATTGCATACTAAAAGCGCCGAAAACATAATGTAGAAGTGAAGCCGACACATTTGATTCGAACTCTAGGAATTCAACGGGTGAATATCGTATCAAATCTGCCTGTACGCGTATACATGCCAACGCGTCTTAAAAAAAATATTCAAACCCCAATAACTTTAGACCCTTATATAAAGTATTCGATACTAATAGGCATTTTGCTCAGACAGTCATTACTTCGGCGTATACTAAAATATTAGCCCTTTCTCATGTTATTGAATTTGAAATTAATGAGAACGGGGGAAGGGGGCGGATTCCGTCCGCTTTCTGTTCCGAGTTCAAAATCGCAGCGCAATAGGGGTTCCTCACCGTGCCAAGTGCATTGGTACTGAAGAGGTACACCCTTAGATATAAGAAAGTGCTAAATCCGGTTTTCCTCCCTTTTTACTCTGATGAGAGTGGAGAGAGAGGAAAATCACTCTGACGCTTACTTCTTACTGCTCTTCCAGAGTAAAAACGAGAGGGAAAAAGAGGAAAAATATAAAGAAACCTGGAGTTAGCGCTTGGCACCTTTTAAAAGTGCGGAGCTAACGCAACGGAAAACGAATCCTTGCCTTTCATATCGACAAGCTGAACCCCCCCTCAGGTACGAGGTTTCTTCATGCTCCACCTTTCTTCGCCTGAACCTTCAGCACACACTGGCGACTTTCATTTCGATATGATTTCGGGGTAATTTCGTATTGGAATGTTTGGTAGGAGTGCCTAAGCTCACGCGATTTCGTCACCCAATACAATCTGCATGCTAGCTTTTCCATGGTGCTCGGCCAACCGGCAAGTCTCGTGGCGAATTCTAGTCTGACTTCTCAAGAAGCAAACGCAATGGGTGCGTGGGAACAGATAAATAAATATGCTTATTTTGCGATTCGGTTGTTCGGTATAGGGAACAGGCTGTTCCCTCGACTGTGGAGGGAACCAACGTGTCTTCACTCCCACACTGCCGGTGGAAAACTCAGACGAACGAAGGAATACGTACCTGGTAATAGATGAGTGTCCCTGTGCCAGGAGGATGGCTGCCTCCTCCACCTCCCCCTCCCGGCTCGTCTCCACCACCCCCTGATTCCCCTCCCACAGAATCCCCCGCAGAAGAGGAGGCAGTAGAATTGGTCAAATTGAGCGAAGAGGCGACAGCACTTCCAACGTGGGATACCACTCCTGCATTCCCTGTACATATCACCCGTGACTTTCTTTCACCAGATCGCCCTATCAACATGGGGAAATGTCTTAAACCTACCTAGAGAGGAGTGAGGATGATAGGCTGAGGGATTCTGAACGTCTCCAGCCATCATGTAAGGGGAGGAAGGATATCCTGCAGACGGGAAAGCGGGCTGAGAGGAGGATGAAGCTCCTCCATTCCCACCTCCACCTGATTCGTGGCTGAATGAGAAGAGATTTGCGGCTGCAGCTAGGTCTCCCCATCGATGCTCCACGCCAAAAGAGTGCATCAAATGTCCCCGACCCTGGAACACATGATACATTCCCAACCACTTTTCACGATGTCACTCACCAACTGCTACTCTGTGCAAAGAACTGTAAAACATTGCTTCATCTTGAACGCCGAAAGTAACAGGTAGATAGAGTTTCGAACCCATTCAAGAGTGCGATTTTCCTTTTCTGGACAAAGTCCCGAATAAGGCTTAAGGGGCTCATGCCAAAGACAGTCGTACTTTCGCGATATTTTGCTGACTATTGATCGATATTTTACAGCAAACTATAAGGCAGGTAACATGTACGCAACGGGTTCTTTTTCATGGCATGCATTACTGACACATTACAAGCCCGTTACACATGGAAAGACCCTTCATATAGTGGGGACACACCGAGTGCAATGCCTTTATATTGAAGTACAGGGTTAATGTAGTGCAACGGATCTTTAGTAGAATATGTTTCTTGTAATAGAAGGCTTGTAAAGGGCTTGGAGTAACCGCATGAATTGGATGTGGTTTAACCGACGAACAAAAAATCGTCAACTTCACTCTTAGGAAGCAAATAGGATACATGCCTGTAATGCCATCGTGCCTGTAATGAAAAATGTCGAAGAAATCCATAAAGGTAATCGAATTAACTATTAAATAAGAATAATGAGAGGTTTTCCCATTCTTCATCAGGCAATAAGAAACATTATCAGGGTCAATCACATCAAACACCCACATTATTAGTAGTGTGACCGTTTGCCCACTTTTCCATTTTCGCCTTCATCGCTTCCTCCAGTCAATTGAGGGAAATGAAATTTGCATCACCCAACAGCGTACATCATCTTTCTATTTTTGCTATGAATCATTATGCGAACAGCTGTGCACGTCCAATGTGAAAGCAGAACGCTTCGAAACAAGTCTTCCGGTAAGGCGATCAGAGAAAGAATACAGGAGTTTCAGATGAAAGACTATTGGAATTAAGACCATAAAGGATAAATTCTCGTGTTGCAGCAATTGCGAAAGAAGCAATCGGCTGCTCGCAAGTTTCTCAGTTCAACGCTCCCAGCGGCAGAAACGCCGTGTTTGGATGGCTCTTCACCTTCCCTTTTTATGTACGAGGTACGCAGTAGTCTTAGTAATTATCAGTCACCTTTGATATACTTGTATCATTTGAAGGAGCGGTTTGATTTTCATGAAATTTTAATGTCACACACTCTCCTCCATTGTGCTTGTTTCTGCAAAAAAAAACTCGCTTATATTAGTCAAGAGAATTCGGAGATACAAGTATCTTAAAATGTCCGGTCAGAAAATCGGTTCGCACAAACAGTCATTGCAGTCCTGCAAAAATGAGGCCATTTGAATGCCATCCGATCATCGCCATTTCTTGTGCATGAAACTTTTCATAGGAATATGGAGGAATTCGAACAACCGACTACTTCCAGTTTACTCGAAAAGAAACAAAATTGCGCAAACTAGGAGCCTCTTCCTCGTCTTTGCTAAACTTAATCTAAATCTGAATCTGAAATCGGTAATTCAACACTGAGGTGCCGAATGAGGAACAACAGACTCCTTCGGCTGCTTTTTACAATGCTTTCTGGTCAAGTTTATATTAAGTTTATGTTTAGATTAAGTTAGGCATATGCAAGGAACAGGCCCCGGGCTGTGTTAGTACACTGGCACGCGCTAACGGCAAGCACTCACAGAGGAGGATCCATCTACCCATGCAACACATTTCGTAATTGAACATTTTTAACATGATTGCATCTCCGGATTTCCATGACTAATTTAATGAGGTTTTTTCAGTGACAAGAACAACGGACTAGAGTGCGTGACGATAAAATTCCACGAACATCTATGTACTCGTATAAAAGACACAGGAATTTTAAAAGTGGCCCAAATGTATTGGACCACAGGCGCAACGGTCTTCACACCAACGGAAAAGGGATGCTCAAGGCCCTCCATCGGCGCAAAATCGAGTGCCCTGCGTCAACCACGGCAGTAAAAGCAACACGAAGAAAATGGTCTGAAGTATTTTTAGTTGCTCTTCACCGCTAACATTACTCGATATTTTCTTAGGAAACGCATGGATAAGGGGGATACATTCACCAGAGGACTCCATACGATGACACATCTCACCGATGCGGATGAGCATCTCTCAACTTCTCGCTGCTCGAGTATAAGTATCGTGAGGCTCATAGTTAATGAGGCCTTGTGTTGCGCCCAAACAAACTTGCTCTCTCACGGGAACGGTTGGTAAGCAAAATCGTTTCCATGCGGGAGCCTCTTCTCTTCCGTGAATGGGAAGTGAGCACCACATCGAATGAATTGGGAATTCCCCATTTGGTTCAACATTGGGAAAATATTCCCACGGCGGAAGTTGGTGCCGATTTTCCTCTGACACCAAATTTGACCGTCTACCTAGCATCCCTGGAAAGTTCTTTCCATGAACTAGAATAGGGAATTATGAAGAGGCTTCAGCTACTCTTTCTCGACAGTATAGACCACAAAATTATATTCTCTCTCCAAAATTCCTCTAGATACTGAAAACTTTCGGCTAATTTGGCCTTCGTTACTTAACGTAATTACTATTACGCTGATAATATCCCATTCCAAATATTTGAAGAAAAAAGAGAGCTCCTCCTAGCTTCTTCAGTGGATATTGGCGCCGTTACCTGTTCATTGCTCGAAATTCCGTGCCGCGATTACGGAGGATCCAATATCGTTGGAATGCTCTTCTCCTTCGTTACAGTCTCCTTTATTACAGTACTTGTTACAGTACAATACAGGACAACTCTTGCATGAATATCGATAGGTCCATCAAGGGTAGATGAAAGAGTCCGCTTTGCCGGCTGCTTCTCTAGAGCTCAGTTGCTTTTTTCTATACGAGTGTAATGGTAACTCTGCAATTTCTACTGGGATGTTTTCTTCAAGGGCGAGACCCCCTCGCCCCCCTTTCACGTATTCATGACCAAGGATAAACAAGGATTTCAGTTACAGTGGCACTGCGAGTGACACTGTCGCCCACCTAAACCCCGACATCGAACGAGGAAATGCGAGAATGATTGAGGTAGGCATGATCAGGAGATTTCCGCGTCTCACACACCTCGTAATCCACTTCGGCTTCGGCCGTTTCTCGATCGCTCCTTCTCAACGCCTCACGTTCGCTCGTCGTGAGGAGTTCCTTGAGAAGACTCCCCGAATACCGGGGCGCCATGTCCCCTTCATGTCTGTCCCTGCACTGTCCCTCGCTTTCATGCTCGTCCAAGTGGCGAGGATGGGAATGGGATGAGGACGAAGCGGCGGCTCGCTTCAGCCTCTCGTAATCCGGCCAACTCAAATCCAAGAATTCCCCCAGGGTGTTCAAGTCCACCTGACTGCACGTCTCCGCATGCACCATAACCATAGCAGATAGCACTGGTGACGGGGCGAGCCTCCGGCTAAGACTGTCGAGTTCCCCGCCCTCAGGCACTCACGGGACCCTCCTCCTCCTCCCCCTCCCTCTCCCTCTCCCTCCCCCCCCTCTCTCTCTCTCCACCTCCCTCACCCTTATTAGGAATTCCCGTCAGGAAATATGAAGAGAAAGAGGGGAAAGAGAGAGAAATATATATATAAATAAATATAATAAAAACATATATATATACATATCTATCTCTCTTTGCCTCATGATATCCGCCATACTTCTCATCTGCATGAGATAAAGGAAGAGAGACCTTCCATTATTTCACACACGAGAAAACTTTCTCCTTTTTTCGCGAATTGAGGGGTGAGGAATAGTGAAAGAGAAGCAGAGGGGAAGAGTAGTTACTCAATCTCGACTCGTAGATCACACCTTCTTCCCAATCCGAAGGTCAAACAGAAGCCATGCATACTGAACAGTCCCAACCACAAAGCCTTCTCTTTTCACGCTTTCATTTATGACATGTATGAAAAACGAACCCGCGAGAAGAGGATACTCTCTCGTATCTGAGTCATGAGCATCATCAGCTCTGTTCTTCAAGACGAAGAGAAACTGTTCGCTCCTTCAAATAGATTTACAAAGCTTGAAAAAAAAAGCAACTCAAGCAATTTACAATTTACACCAAATTTCACTCCTCTACAATTTACTCCAAAAAGAGAAGAGGGGGGGGGGGGGGGGAATCAAGTGCTCCGGAAGAGCAAAGATCGAAGAGACAACCGAAGTTATAATTAGTACAGGCCTGAGATAGGGAATATTTCTCCTACAAGATTATCTACCTAGATTGGTTATCGTACGTACAGACAAATCGGTACAATATATGAATGAAAAAATATGCACTATCAATTTCGCCATTAAAAAATAACAAGCAAACAAGCAAACTGAATAGAGCCAACAGCTGAAGGTCTCTATCACGTTCTCGACTTCTGCAACAAATTAAAGAGTTTAGTAATTCCTGCCAACGGTGTTTGGAAAGTTAATCTGCGATAGTCGTCTCATACGGCAATAATTTCGACTTCCTCGTGCATGGTGGACGGACTACATCGTGAATCTTTGTCACTTGAGATTCGATAGCCTATACAACTTGCCGAGCGAGAGTCTGTCGCTCGGGATCGCGAACAATTGGAGATGCTCCTCCGCCCGCTCGCGCCAAAGACCCCATCAAGTTGGGACATGCGGTTTCGAAAATGTATACATGAATAATCCCGACATGAGGAATTTTTCAACTGAAGAGCTGAAAAGGGGGGAGGGATGGAATCTTTCGATTCTCGAGAATGAAACAAAAATCCTTCTTCCATGTCCCTTTTCTTACAAATGCAATAGCGATCGTTACACTTAGCGAGCCGCGCGAATTGTTTTTTTTTTGGGAGATTTTAATTTCTTAAATAAAAATTGTTTTCAAAGACATTAACCCGTCCAAAGGACAGAACATTTGGAGTCTCTTCTGTCGATGAGTAAGCGGAGTATGGCTAACTCTATGAGGTTCGGAGCATTTCATCCGATTCCTAGTATCTCTAAAAACGGATGCGATTTTCAGCAGGCTTAGGAAACTGTTTCTTTCCTCCGTAATCCAGCTCTGCCACTCGCTCTCGAGTCATAATTTCCAGATCAAGCTTTCATCATTCCTTTCCAGTTCAGTATATTCAATGACACTTCGAGTGAATGATCATTCTGGGAAGACGCTACAAACGCGGTGTCCTAAGATTTGCGTGGAGGAGAAAAGCCTCTCGCTTTACACTCTCGATCATCACACGATATAATCGTATGGTATCACAACTCATGCGGAAAGCGCTTCATTATCACTTCATGTGTCTCTCCTCGATGTTCCACCCGACGACGAACATATAATCTAATATATGACTCTCTTCTGTAGTGATTGACAGCAGAAATGTCAAAATTAGACTGCTCGGCCACGAAAGGATTCTTACGTGCTATATTCTATGCTGAGTAGCTGTGTCAGGAATAAGAGGAAGGCTTATTCATGTCATAATATCAACCTCCTTCAGACGCTCTCAAAAATATGATATTCCATTTCATCGGTGAAAATTGTGCTTTGCCGCACACCAGTGACGAGCAAGGCCAGACCAAGACGCGAGGTGAAAAAGCTTCTGTTTCCATGAAAAAAAAATCCCACCAAATTGAATAATGGATATAACAAGTTATAACAGATCCTTCCAACGGTGGACCTGCTTCTCATATCTCAAGGGGGTTGGGTTTCTCTAGTCCTTTGAGGCGTGTTATACGCAATTGCACATCGATTGAAAGTAGTTTTAAATTTGCAGGGTGTCCGTAAAGCAATCATCTGATTTTATTTGCTTCTCAATCTTGTCGCATTTTGTGTAAATTCTATTTCCAGGTAATCACCAGCAAGGATTGGCATATGGGTGATACGTGTGGTAAGTGTTGACGGCAAATATGGGAGGCCTAACGAATGTAGGAGAAAATGATCATGTAATAATGTGAAAACAAATTCTCAATGGCTTTAAATTTTCCCAACCCCCACCCCCACCTCTCCACGAGACTCACAAACGTTAGGCCGAGGCCAAACCAATAGACTGTCTTCGGATCATGTCAAGGTCTACCTTTTTCTTTTCAAAAGAAACATTATTCTCAACTTACGTCGCCAATTAGTCCTATTAGGGCGAATCGTGGTCTTCGAAACATCTGGCTGAGGACGTGTAACGTTAGACCGATTGGAGGCCTGTTTCGCGTTTCATGAACCATTACAGTGGGACGTGGAACGTTAGGCCTATCTGGAGTTCCTCGAACCATTTCGAATAGGTCTGATGAGAGAATATCTTCAAGAAGCATGCAATCCATGGTACGCACCATCCTGTTAATTCAGGGATGTCCTGATAAAATATCTACATATCCCATCACATCGATCAATAACTGCTAACAACGCTTCATTCTCAGCTCAACTCATGAACTCAGAACAAAAAGTCTCATAAATTGAAAAACAGAGAAGATCCAGACGCCAATACGAAGGTTGAAAGTCTTGAATCTGGCATAATTTCGGCGCGGTATCCGGCAGCATTGAGGGACGGTACCGGGGCAAGCACTATAACGACAGCTAATTTCATTTTTTTTTTACGGCGAAATGGAGCATCGCAAACAACAAAAAAGCCACTTTTCGTCATTTACAAGTCAATATCTTTCTCCTTTTTTCGCGAATTGAGGGGTGAGGAATAGTGAAAGAGAAGCAGAGGGGAAGAGTAGTTACTCAATCTCGACTCGTAGATCACACCTTCTTCCCAATCCGAAGGTCAAACAGAAGCCATTTTTTGAAAAGAAAAAGGTAGACCTTGACATGATCCGAAGACAGTCTATTGGTTTGGCCTCGGCCTAACGTTTGTGAGTCTCGTGGAGAGGTGGGGGTGGGGGTTGGGAAGAGAAAAAAAAATAAAATAAAATAACGGAATGAAATTCACATCCTCCAAAAATGAGATTCAGTGTTCTCCACAACCCCGGAAAGATGGAGCTTCAAATTTGCTGGAGCGATTCTGTGGTGAGAGTTGAAGAAGTACGCAAAATTTAGTTCCTGTTGATGCTCTCAGAGAAGGTTGAGTTTTGAGAAGAACGAGAAGGTTGAATTTTGCTGCGGGAAGGGGTTGAAGAAAGGTAATAGGCGCTACCGCGCCTATTCATTCAAAATTTTACTTTCAGGATCTCATTGTTGACCGGCTGAATTCTACTCCCTTCCAATGTTACCCCCAGATATCAAAAAGTCCAAGATACTGGATACCGAATCACAGAAAATTCAACATGCAGAATAAACATGGAGAAATATTCAAATTTAGACATGAGACTTGACCGAAAAAATGTCATATTCAAAGTTAACAAAGGTTTTAAAAAAAAAAGTGAGTTCTCAGAGAAAGTGGAGTGTATCTCAGATTCCACAGTCTTTCGCTATGATCAGGATCCTCCTTTAGGCCTACTCCCGCTTTTTTCCTCTTAGGAGCGTGTCCGCCTTCTAACCTATGGATCATCAATAACTTTCTTCGTACCTTTTCGGAGAATAGTTATTCCACATTCGAATTTCCAAAATCCCGGAAAGGCAAGGAGCCCGATCTCTGAACCCGTACAGTTCACGTCGATAGAAAAATATTCGGCGTTGTGATCCTTCGACCTCGGCAAGCAAGAGACGATCAAATACAGTCCTTGATACATTTTTCGTCGTTTCGATTTTTCAACTTTCGAGTTTGTTTTGGGCTTCGTTTTTTTTGGCCTTTCCGACCCAAGGACGATACGTAAACTATCGTCCAGAGAACAGAATATCCAGGTGGATTGAGCAAAGAGTATCAATGAGTGAAAGCAAGCCTCGGAAATTTAAATAAGAAATTATGTTTGAATGCGGATGATTTAAATCAATTTGACTGGCATTGAAGATGACATAAAATACATGAGTGAGTTACTTTTCAGCCAACCTGTATTTTTCTTATTTATGAGACCCTTGGGTTGAAACATGGAACTCATGTAAACATGATCGCACAAGAATAATTATAGCATTATCACCATGGCAACCAAGAAGAGCAGTTATGAGGATTTATATGCCAGCAGAACCTACAGTAGGGAAAGGAGAAAAAATTCACGAACAAAAGGGCGAAGCATGAATCGAAAAAAAAATTTAACCCCACTAGGAAAATCAAGAAATCGCAAGAGTAAAAATCGAATGAAATACTTTCTGTTCTTTCAAAACTTCCTGGTAACTGAAGCGCTTTGCAGTATCAAAGACTAGTGGAGATAGTTCAATACCAATTGGACTTCTGGCCTTTCCTCAAATTTTTGCGGCACGTCTGCTACACGTTTTCAGCAACTATGTGCATTTGAAAATGTGTCTCCAAATGGAGAGAGAAAAATGTAAAGGGTTGTAAGAGACGGCAAAGTAGTAGTGAGGGGGGTTGGAGAGTAATGAGGAGCCAGAGGAAGAAGACAGAAGTAGGGAGGAGGATTCAAGAACGAAAGATGACATTTAATCTGTC